GAGACAGAGACTGGCAGAGTGGATTGAACACACGACCCAACTACGCGCTGCCTACAAGAGACTCGCTTTGCGTCCAAATACGCACAGAGGTTGAGAGTGAAAGGGTGGAAAAATGCATTCGGCGCCCAGAGTCACCAGAAGAGAGCCGGGGCCCGGGCAGGTGTGGCTCCGGGGTTAGAGTGTCGGCCTGAGGACAGAACGGTCGGTCGTGGGTTCGAGCCCCTGTGGGGCTCAGTGCTTGTGGCAACCAATCAATGTCTCTCTGGCTCGGATGTTCCTCTCTCTCTCCCTCCTCCCTCCCTTCTACTTTTTCTCTAAAAGTCAACAGGGAAATCCCCTGAATGGGTTGGGGGGAGCCGTGGCTTTCCCAAAGGTTGCAAACCCAAGATTCTTACCCCCAAGCAGAGGGCCTTGACTCCCTAAATGCTTCTGCCCTCACCCGAGGACATGGTTTTTAACGATTCCAGAGAGAGAGGCCAGAGACAGGGACGGAGAGAGAGGCATCTACAGGTTGCCTCCCCTCTGGGGATCGAACCCAAGACCTGGGCATGTTGGTCAGGTACCATTTTACCCCTAAAACTTTGCTGGCATCCAAATAGGACAGTTGACTGGTGTTAAATCTGTAAAATACTTACATGGCTCAGCACATTAAGCTTTAGACACTTGGCAATTAAACCACATAAAAAAAACCAACAGGACAAGCCCGGCTGGTGTGGCTCAGTGGTTGAGCATCGACCTAGGATCCAGGGGATCGTGGTTTGATTCCAGGTGAGGGCACAGGCCCGGGTTGCGGGGTCCATCCCCAGTGGGGGGCGTGCAGGAGGCAGCCAATCAATGACCCTCTCATCACGGATGTTTCTCTCTCTCCCTCTCCCTTCCTCTCTCTGAAATCAATAAAGACATTAAAAAACAACATACAAACAAAACAGGACAAGACCTGCATGCTCGGAATCGGGTGTTCACAGTCCCAGTCTGGCGACTGTGCCCGGTTCCAGGAGGCAGCAGGTCTTGCCCAAGGCAGTGAGCACCCTGGTCGGGAAGCACTGCCCCAGGGTCATGCACCTCCCCACCTCCCTTGGGTAGTCCCGTGATTCTAGAATGTGAGGTCTGGCTGGTACAAATGAAGGCGTCACTCCGTGGCCACGGTCTAATGCCCACTGTGTGCACAGTGTGACTCTGAACGCAAGGCGTCCTAAAACCTTGTCACTTGGCACTTTGGTTTTCAGGCTGGGGGTCCAGGAGTCTTGACTGTGCCTTCTTTGGGGTTCTGCTAGCAGCAAGGCTGAACTGGGGAGCAACTCACATGCATTTCCCCCTTTCACACAGAAAATATTTTAAGTGTGTCTCCCCGGGGAGGAAAAGCTGACAGAGGGGGGTGTTTTCACCCGCGGGAAGTCTGGAGCAGTCTGCCTGTCCTTGGTTCTCCCGGAGGCTTTAACCAGTGTCTGTTCATTTCCACAAGATCCCAAGGGCGTCCCCTGGAGTAGCGGGGGCCCTGGAGCCTGAGGTGAGGCCACAGGGAACTGATGCGCAGCAGAGACCGGCCCCTCTGCNCCGGGAGGTCTGGAGCAGTCTGCCTGTCCTTGGTTCTCCCGGAGGCTTTAACCAGTGTCTGTTCATTTCCACAAGATCCCAAGGGCGTCCCCTGGAGTAGCGGGGGCCCTGGAGCCTGAGGTGAGGCCACAGGGAACTGATGCGCAGCAGAGACCGGCCCCTCTGCTCAGAGCGGTCCTCAGGACGCCCAGAGGCCTGGATGTTGGAAAGCTCGAGGCTTCAGGAACTTCTCGAGTCTTCAGTGTCCCCTTTCTAGGAAGGACTCGNGGATGTTGGAAAGCTCGGATGTTGTTGGAAAGCTCGGATGTTGGAAAGCTCGGATGTTGGAAAGCTCGAGGCTTCAGGAACTTCTCGAGTCTTCAGTGTCCCCTTTCTAGGAAGGACTCGGGGTCAGACACGCTGAGTGACTAGCTGGCCAACAGTGATTGCTCCAGCCCACACATGTTAGCATGAGAGTCCAGCCCTGGGACCTGAGGCAGAGGCAGAGCCTTGGGTCTGTGACAGAGAAGCAGATTTGTGACTAAGAAGCTTTGCAGAGCAGGCTGAGGGGCTGGGCTTAGTCATAGCTGCGGGGGGCAGGTGGTTGGGCAGGGCTGGTTTTAGTGAAGAGGGGAGACGGGGAGGGGAGGGGAAAAGGGAGAGAGGAGAGGGGAGGAGAGGGGAGATGAGAGGTAATAGGGGGAGAGGCGGGAGGATGGTGATCGCCAGCTTCCGCCTTCCCCCGGCACATCCCCAGCAGCCCCTGGTCCCAGCCCTTCAAGACCCGGCTGGTTTCCAGAGAGATGACAAAGGGCTGGTGTTGGGGTGCTTGCGATCAAACCCTCGCATTTGTCAGCGTCGAGGTCTAGGACTTGCTCCTAAGGGACTTGATGTCAAGGTGAGTTCACCTGCTTCCGGACCAGCTTCCTTTGCGGTTTCCTTTTCCCTCGGTCCCCCCTCACCCCCGCAGCCCTGGCAAGGGCACTAGGGCAGATAGAAAAGTACTGTCGGGACCCAGCTGAGCCTCATGTCTCTGCGGGAACAGACCCCGACTGTCCCGCCAGGAGGCTTTCGGGGGCTTCCAGCAGCAGGGGCCACATCCCTTTGCTCACCCTCAGCCCTTCCTTCCCTCCTGGTCCCCAGATCCGTTCTTCAATTCCCACCCTCCCTTGACGCTAAATCCAGACCCTATCTGGCTGCACAGTAGTTGCTGGGACCCGGTGACGCCACTCACGCCACACCCAGCTGCCCAGCACACCCATAGCTCTGCGCCGCTGCAGGGAGCCGGCCTCCAGGCACCCACAGGTCACCGCTGGGTGGCTCCGGGGAGCCTGGGAGGGGATATCCCCAAGCCGACCCTGTGCCTCCACCCAGGGCGCTGCCCCGGCTCTGAGCGCTTGGGGGTCTGCGGGGCACCCAGCCTGGCCCCGTGGTGGGTGACCCCGGAACCCGCCACACCCACACCCTCTCTCCTGGAGTTGTTCTCGGACGCACGGATTTTGGAGAGAGGCGGGGAGAGAGCGAGGTGTCTTCCCCGCCCCAGTGCGTTCAGCTGGGCGATTCCTGGAAGCTACTCACCGGGGATCAAACCCGCAGCCTCGGGGTACTGGGAGGGCCCTCTATCCAACCCCGCTACCCGGCCGGGGGCCACTTTAAACACGTCCGGTTGTCAATGATACCGCAACCCAGCCCTTGGAACCCCCCGGAGAGCCCCGGGCGCGGGGAGGGGGGCGACGCCGNGGGCTCCGAGACTTTGTCCGAGGCTGTGTCCCGCCCGGGGCTCCGCCCCGCTCCGCTCTCGGGGGTCTTCCCTCCCCGAGCCCCGGCCGGGCACCCACCTGCATCTCGAGGACGAGCAGCGGCAGGAGGCGAGCCTTCAGCGGCGGCAGCATGAATGCCACCGCGGCTCCGAAAGTTGGGTCATACGCTCCCGCCCCCGAGCGGCGCGCTTACGGTAGGTGTTTCTATGAGTCAATCATGAGGAGCGTTTCTCTCAATTGGTTGGAAGGAAGTTTCCCTCCCTGCCATCTGCGTGCACATTTTCCCGTGTTGTTTGGGGTGCGGCCAACTCCACGCCTTCCAGCTCCCGTTGCCCGGGAGACAGCCGCCAGCTGCGCTGGCACCGGAAGCAGCGCCCGGCCCTTACCCCTCGCCCCCGCACCGCGCGCACTCCCCGCTCCCGCGGCGCTCCGAGGACATGCCCAGGGGACCCG